TCATGACAATAAATGATGACATAGACATAAAGGTGACAGATCCATTAGGCTATCCATCAACCAAATCCCAATTGGATGTTGACTTTGTTGTTGATTCGTTGATAATATACAACTCTTTACCAAAAAGGAACTCAAACCAAAATATTAGAAGTTCTAAATACTAAACGAGATAATTTCTTGTGACTCAAAACATGCGGAATGACATTGTTATTTATTGGCTTACCGCCTTACCGGTATGTCTGGTTCAATCATTCAATGTCGTTAGGTTGCTCTAACGCTGCGTGCACCTGGACTGGGTCGGCGGGATCCGAAACACAAATGTTATTCTAGCTGTACTTACTTATAAAAATTCGATGGTCCAATGTGCAAGGGCTGCCACGTTCTACTACCGAGAAAGACATGCTTCTACTCTCCGCAGCTCCACTCAAGCGAATGCGCTTTGCAGCCGAAATCGTGAGTGGTGATAGCGAGACCCCTCCACGCAACAGCTTACTAGCTGACCGTACCACAGCAATTGCCATGCCTGCACTGGTATTGCATCATCCTTTGCATGATGGTAAAAACCGGATGTAACAATGGCTATCACTGTATGAGCCAGAATTCACCGGCATGCTTTATGTTTGGTTCATTTACTAAAAGATTAAACCTAATAAAGATAATTTTATTCAGACAAATACTAAACTACACGAAGATTTTGAGATTTTTAAAGCAAAAACTATTATGTGAATGACGATATTTTAAATGCGGTTTTCAGAATATCGAAACCATGGTTGAAATCCATTTCAACCATGAATATGGATTGAAATCCATTTCAATATTTCAACCATGAACGCAACCATGTGTGGAGGTGACTGAATCGGGCGAGTTCGCAGGTGGGTCAGGAGAAGTGTCGATTCAGTGTGGAGGTGGGTAGGTTTATATCAATAACTCACTCAATTATGTCCATATTATATACAAGAATGTCAGGTTTATTGTTTTTTTTTAAACTTTAAAGCCTCTCATGTCATCAAAACATCGACATTTTTTGTCTGATATTATGAAAATCACATTTATTCCAAGCTCACTCATTTGAATGGTACTTTAATTTTTCTTTCATGTTTTGAAATATCCAAATATTTTATTTTTAAAATATCTACATTTCATTTTGGTTCAATACTTGTGATTCCCATTATATTTCACAATGGGTCTTTAATCAAGGCTTTATCTAGAATACCATAAAAAAGTTTCCCTTTAATTCGCACTTCAGGAGCTCGCGATTTATAAGAAGTAGATTCAACCTTTTTTTCACGGTTTTAGAAGAGTGAATGGTTAATTAGGCATAAGTATCAATTATGAGAACGTTTGTGAAGAGGCAACATATTTTTCGAGGCACGTTAACTTCAGCAAGATGAAATTATCAGGAAAGCCCCGATTGATCTTCAACTCTAACGGACCTCGAGCATAATCATAAATGGTTTAATATGGCCTGTCAGGGAATGCGTTTACTTTCATCATCATACGACGCTTGATTTTACGGATAGGTGACGTTAAGTTTGTGAGAATCAATTAAGCTGCTATTGCAGCAAGTCTCATTCAACAGTCTAAATTCTGCCATCATCGATTTAATTACATTTTGCGGGAAGTATCTTATCTTTTTTTATTAACATGCATTTAACATTATTGAATTTCGAAGAATCTCAACGATTATATTCTTTTACCTCCATTACAGGGACATCAATACTTAGCGTTACATTTTTATAAAAATCAATTGTTGATAATTGTCCTAGATATTTATCATTTGTTTACACCTTATCATTAATCTTCATCATTATTTATCATCTTTATGGTGTCAAAAAACACCAACTGTCTGCTCAAGTTGTAGACAAACGCCTCCGAAGATCCAAGATTCTTCTTTCCCGCATTCATGATGGCACGCTGCCAAACCTCGTTTTCAGTGACGAGAAGATATACGTACATTGTTAAAATAGCGATGCAGTTTTTGACATTGTGTGGATCATTCTGACTCAGGATGGCCCTGTAAAAGGGCATATCCCAGTGATACGTCCGCTCTCTACTCATGCTCTGAGTAAAAAAGTGTGTCAATATTTGCACAATATGATATATGTCAGTTCATTTGTCAGGCCTCTCGAAAGATGCACATTGTATAATGTGCTTCTTTCGAGAGTCCTGACAAATGAACTGACATATATCATCTACTTAAATCAAATATTAAGAAATTTGAAGGAAGCCTAAATAAAGCAAATCCTTCGATGGAATTTTATTAAAAAAATCGGATAGAACGTTCTGTACATGAGAAGGAGGATAAGATACAAGTTTTGCGGGAGGCGCTGTTTACACAGTACATGGCGCTTCATTTGACCAGTGTCACGTACGGGCTAGAATGGCAGTTTTCATTCACAATATTCACACGAGTATTATATCAACAACAGACATCGTGCACAAACCAATGACTACGAGACTGTGAGCGTACAGCTTGTGAAAGCCGCAACGCTATTTCAGATGCGCAAGTTTCATACTAAGAAGAAAGGTAGAAAAAATGTTGAATATTCTCTGCACGTGTTTCAAAGTAGGGTAGATACAAGTCTGAACGTTTCTAAGTAAGAGAGAAGAGCAAGATTGATTGGCGAAAATTTTATGCAAAATAGAGATATAGCGAGTTATGGTTCGGACACTAAGGTCATTCACAAGATCTGAAACAACTCAAGGATTATAGACGAGCAAAAAAAAAAAAATTGCTGCAGGGTTCAATAAATTATCAAATGATGCACACTTTCGTACAAAAGATAAGTTTTCCCACTTGCAAAAATTCGTAAAAATTATAAAAAATACAAAGTAATTAAGTCAGATCATATAAAATTACACAGAAACGTAATAACCAAAGTCTCTGGTGCTAACAGTGCAGACTCTTAAAAAACACGCACAAAAATATAAAATTCGGAAACAAATTTAATGCAAATTCAGTTCTTATTCCCATCATAAAATAATAAAATTTATAATTTGCAAAAATTAAACTAGATTACATCGATCTAAGAATCAAGAATCCATGAAAGTTTTGAAAATACCTTATACGTTCCGAAATACTGTCAACGCAAAGACAGCACAACATCTACTGTTTAATATATTAATAAAATATTGAGGGAGTTATAAGCCCTGTCTTGAACGAAAATTACCGGTGCATTTATTACAAGTTGAAAACTTGTACACGCAAATAAAAATAGCAACCAGAATTTCCGTTAATATGAAGTGAATCTAAAAAGATCTGCTTTGTAGCCCCTAGTGCATTTTATGCGAGTGGATCTTCCACAATAAGTTTCTTAAAAATATCTGAATCTTCCAGAATAAGTGCGAGCGTCCACAATGAAAATTTTAGCGAGCGTTTACACTGTTTTGCTCACTCAACAATAAATCACTAAATCTGGCAAGAAACAGAAGCGACTCGACCACCAAGTACATGAATGAATATAGTATAGTATAAGATTCACTTCGCCAGAAAAAAGTATGAATGATTGACAGGAATTATTAAGCAACATTGATTTCAAGTTAACGGAAACTATGAGTAGGCAGGAACTAAACAGGTAGATTTTGCAAAATTCAATGAAATACTGAATTTGTGAGAGGGATTAGTAGTGTAACTTTTCGCCTAAAATATAGATCCAGAAAAAGTTATAATTTCACTTAAGGAAAAATAGAATTCTGCCAGCATACGGTTGCACTTTCAGGTCTTCTTACGTTCTGGAATAGAATGGTGTACATTGTACAAATGAATCCCTATGAATATTTAATTTTTGATGGTAATCCCTAGGAGAAAAGAAGCCCGAGGACATGAGGAGGAAAGTAAAAACGGTATTAAGTACAACTTAATTTCGCATGATATTTACTGAAAACATAATCCTCTAATGAGACTATAAATAATTTTGATTTCGGTCAGAAATTATTTGTGACGAAATAGAGGAATAGAGTTAAAGAACATGATCACATTGAGTTGAAGATAGTGATAAGTGATGTGCAGGGTCGATAATACTGCTTAATCCCGAATCCATTAAAGACCAATCATCTTCAAAACAACGCAAGTATGGAAAATCAAATTCGGTTCGGGCACAGCGCCATAACATTGAAATTATCTTATATGGAAATAAAAACGTGTAGAAGTCGCGTGAGATGCACAAAAAGAAAGACAAGAAGAACCAATGCAATGCATAGGTCCAAATAAAAAGAAAAGTGAAGGTTTCTTAGAATAACTGTACATGAAAATGTAGTCACTTAAAATAATGCGCGCACAGGACTAGCGACCACAATCTTGTAGATAGGCTGAACTGAGGCCAGCCTCAGATAGACGTTTGTTTGCAATCGAGTGCTGCTCAGTCCCCTAGAGCCAGGAGGTAACAGGATACGTGTTAGACTTGACAAAAGATATCCAGTATTAATTGAAAAACTGAGGCTCAAATTTGACATAGGGAATTTTATATCGGATCAGTAATGCATATAACAGACGTATTTAGGTGTCGTTCAAACTGAATTAACAAACAGAAGAGCGTTATAGGTACTTTGTTTACAGTTAATTGGTTTAGGGAATAGGTTGAAATCAGGACACATCAGTCACCTAAATATCGATATTAAAGTGAACCACAATCATTAAGAATATTCAGAGTATAACAACGACGTACAATTTAATTCGAAATAAAAGGCATAAAATGAACCGTCCCAAAAAATTCAAAGAATTTAAAAGGTCAATTCACAGAATCGACTTTCATCCATGCAATACAAACAACTGGAAACTTGAATTTTCCAGTAGCAACTGGAAAAATTTTCAGGTAGAAATTGAAAAAGCAAATTGAAAAACAAGGACTGAACCTGATGGGACTGAAAAATTGGTCGAAAATAAAAAAATGGCATCATAACGAGCTAAAAGTTAACGACATAGAAAAAATGGCTTCAAATCTGAGACAATGATTCGGTCAAGATATGCAAAATTATTCTGCACGATAATGTGTTCCTTATGGAACATAATTCATCTTCTATGCATAGTTATCATCACTGAAGCAATGAACATATGAATATAACTTTCAAATTTATGAAAAAATGAGCGTAGCAGTCAGAATTAAATTTCCTAAATATTAGTGCAGATTTTCCACAGCTTAGAAGAGTTATATTAACAAGAGAATCTAAGCAAAGGGGGATTTTTTGGTGCAACCTTCTCAAACTTGTCGCTTCATATCAACCAAAGTCCAGTAAAAGAAGGAGTGGCACTTAGAAGACTGACTCTAATAAAGAAAAAATATTGCGCCTGAGTCCTGAAATGCACTAAACGTTAGTCGACTCACTCATCACACGGCATTAGTGAAGAATAATATCTAGTATTTAGTATTAATTAGCTAGCTACCTAACAGCCTGACACCACAAGGGCTCGAAACAGCGCCAGCACCGAGCCAGCAACAAGGCGAGTATTACGCTACATAGTACACTGTACACCGCGAAGGGATTCCTAAGCATTACACTTATGCACAAATGATACGTGATCATTACACGAGCTTAAATTCAGACCAGTCAATTAATTCAGTTACATAGCGTGTCGTTATAGTTAAGAAATGCAGTGAAGGAAATATGAAGTCTGGACACAGAGAACGAGATGAGTTATGCTGCTGGTGGGGAAGTGAAATGTTTCAACCTATATAATATTTAGAGAAAAATTAGAACTTAGGAACAGCAAACTTATGGGATAGTTTTCTGCCTCCGTTTTCCCTCCATTTGGTCTTTCCCTCTTCTCCAAACTAAAACCCAAGAGTCCCTCCGTTTTCCGTAAAGCTTCGGGCTCAGTTTAGAGAGGATCGTGTTGGATGATATAACATAATGATGAGAGGATGAAGTTGATTGGATAAAACTACAACGCCGGTTAGGGATAACTAGTCAAACAGAGCTGCCACGAAATAATTAAGACTAAACAAGAATTAAAGCTGCTTGGGTTATCGCCATATTCGATATCATTAACGATGCATGCGATGAAAGAAACACGAATAAGTCTCCTGGTGAAGATTGAAATAAACTTGAAAATGGCATCGAATATAATGTAATAATGACATAAAATGAAGAAACACGAAGAAACGTGAAGCAATAGATCGTACAGAAGATTATTAAGAAATAATGAAGCATGGCTCAGTATTTTTTATCTTCCATACAGAACCTCGACGAGATAGCACGAGAACTGGCCAAAATGTTCAGCTACATCAGACGATCTATATTACCCATTCAGTGACACTATGTTATCTCGCTAGCCTCTTGTGTTCATACAGATTCCGAGCGAATAATAGAATGTTAAGCATAATAGAAACCTCGGGTTCAGAACGGCGAAAAAATCTTCATTGTGATTAGTAGATTTTAGAGATTGACAAACGAGCCCACAGAGCTCAATATTTGATGTAGGTTTTCACGGAAGCCCGACTGCCGATGAACACGTACGATAAGAGTTAAAGTTTGAAAAATTCTACACAAAAATACAAGAACTTGGCAAAGAAATCTCAAAGAAGCTCAAGTCTCCGCGGATGAACGATGATACTTTTTAAATGCAATCTCAAATTATTTACGCCTTCTGCATTAGTGGATAATAATAAAAATAAAAGAAACAGTTCAGATACTGGGCTCTGATACAGTAGCGATAAGTTAATTATACCAGTCGTTACTTCTCAAGCTAGAATATTCATGTAATTTAAGAAGGTTAATGTCTAAAGATATTCATCTCCTATTCAAGTTCATGCAATTTCGAGAAAGTTTCAGAATTGATTAAGTCTTGAGATTAAAGGTATCATCACAGACGTAAAACTCATTTTCTATAGAGAAGAGCATGAAAGAGACAACAAACTCAGATAAATGAGCGTGATATGGTCCAAATAGCAACCAACTTTTGCTGTTGTTTGGGTCATCCTGACCCAGTTCAGGTCGGCAAAATGCTGTAACAGTGATACTTTGGTGGACAACATAACCCACTCATTCTTCTGAGCGCTTGGAGATTTAATTTTAGGGCAAAAGCTCCGCCAAAGTTCAAGGAATTGTACAGACTTTAATGGCGAAATTTTAAGATGAAATAACGATGGCATGCCTATACACTTGCAACAGTACAAGAGGATAACACCATGCGATTCCATAAATAGTTTGACATATTTGTTTTATGGTAATCTAGTAAGCGATTATTATAGAAGCTAATGCAGAAGTTCCAATGCAGCACGTCATGCGAAGAGACTCGAATTCTCACCAGCCAACTGACGTTGAAATAACTTTGATTAGAGGTTGTTTCAACGACATTTGTCTCAATGCTTGGTCGTTCAGTTTATTTTAGTGAATAAGTTGTTTGCATAGTCATTATTCACACATACGCTCAGCAGTCACTATTCACACACGGCACCAACGTTATTCATGTATGGATTGTGTAAGCGCCAGTTACTTGACGTCGTGAAAATGTGCTGCAACTCATAAATCAATAAACGACTTCGTTTATATGGGTACCATTTTTGGCTGAAATTACACCGCATTGGTTTCTTTCATAACATTAAAAAACATTCATACAGCATTTCATGTCCTGGGATTTAAGTTTCACAATGAATAAGTTTGTTGAGCTGAACGTAAAATTATGTCGATGTTCAAATCTAATTAAGAATGTTTAATTGATATTCCAGCTTATAACGTACTTTGTAAATAAATCATAGAAATAGAAGAAAAAGTTGAATAATAATTTCTAGATTTAACAATTTTACACCGACCAGTACAACGTCGTTAACATAGGGCGAATTGATCAGAAAAAACTGCAAAGTTGGTTAGCCGTTAACGACCCGTGCCCTCCACTGCGATGTTCATAATCCATTCATAATAATTTCGTGAGAATCCTTTTTTTAATTTAGACAATTAATTTAACAGAAAAAGTGTTATGATAAAAGCTGCATCCATCTGGATGTTTGAGACGTGAACAAGTCAGTGATTCAGGCATCAATAAATGTAGGCGGTAGAGCTAGAGTTATCAGGGAGCGTTTTAATGGCTCTTGGCAGATCTAGTGTTACTGGGTAGCGTTTTAATGGTTCTTGGCAGACCTAATGTTGCTGGGCAGCGTTTTAATGACTCTTGGCAGCTTCCTTGGCAGCGACAATGAGGGGGTGGAGGCTGGAGAGAGGACGCGCCAGCTTTAGAAAGGGGTGCTGCAAGAAAAATAACATAATTTTATTAATTCAACTTCAGGTTGATAATACACAATAAAACTGCAATGTATCATTTAAATTACTCAAATGAGTCGGCACTAGCCACAAAAAAATTATTCACCTAAAATCCATAATAAAAGTAAGTATAAATTAAAAGTATGTACAACATAGAATATGCAAACATTATTCTGAATAAGCTGTAATGTACAAAGGGATATTTTTCATTAGAATAAATACAATTAAAAAATCCCACCCGGAAATCTACAAGTCACATTCTTCATCAGTCACCGATAACGCAATAACTAAAATATATGACGAACATATAACAACAAAAACATACTGATATAAGAATAATTTAAGACAAACAACACACACTAGATTTTAATACAAGCAACACACATATGAATTCAAGACAAAACCACACTAGAATTTAAGACAAGCAACACACACTAAAATTAAATTGAAGATTAAGACAGCTTAAGACAGTGTGTGTTTAAGTTTAAGACAGTTAAAGACAGACAACATTTACTAGAATTTATGACAAAGACAGTTTAAGACAGTGGATGTTTAAGTTCAAAACAGTCAAGATTTACTATAATTAATGCCAAACCTTCAGCAGCTGTGAAGCAGAAGCCCGGGCTTCGACCTTGACTTCGAGGCACTGGTCCAGGAAGTCCTGGAAAACGTGCGAGAGTTTCTCGCGCTCTTTGATCTCAGGCTTGCCGTTGGTCGCGATCAGGTACAGCGCTCGTAAGGGATTTTCGTTAAGGTACGGAGGCTCCCCTGAAAATAAACAAATAATCAGTAGTTGTAGAGAATATGAGTGATTTATTGTCAATTATTTAGAATACATATACAAGATTCTTACAAAGGAAATATGAAGGAACAAAATTCTTACACGATAAATGCAGCGAAAACACAGTCTTACTTCGGATGATTCCAATGTAATCATTAACCAGCCACTTCTCCACATCATTTCAATAGCTATGTTACTTTGCTATCTCCTGCTATCATGGACCACTCACCTTCTATCATTTCTATAGCCATGATACTTCTCTTCACCGCTGCTATCACTCACCTTCTATCATTTCTATAGCCATGATACTTCTCTTCACCCCTGCTACCACTCACCTTCTATCATTTCTATAGCCATGATACTTCTCTTCACCGCTGCTATCACTTACCTTCTATCATTTCTATAGCCATGATACCCAGGGACCAGACGTCCACGGTGGGGCCGTATTGCTTGCGGGTCACCACCTCCGGCGCCATCCAGTACGGCGTGCCTACCATCGTTGTTCGTTTGTTTTGCTCCGCGCTGATTTGGGCACAGAAGCCAAAGTCCGCTGCAGAATACATAAAAGTATTAGCCAAAGCTGCTGCAAAATATACGTGAACATATCCCAAAATTTGCAGCAAAATGCATAACAAGATTCCCGCTCAGTCAGGGTTATTTAATTAAAAAATAAAATAATCCTTCACAGATAGAAGTGAACAGTCAGTCTATGTCACTGAGTCCGGCTGGCGTCCTTCTCGATGCTGGTGATTTTATTTTGATACATAATAAAACAAAAAAAATGTTCTTACTCTCAATGTCCTTTCCTCAAATGAAAATCAAGTTCAAGAAAAAGTTGAAATTTAGATGAACAATAAAATATATATTTGCTGGAACATACCAGACAATGTCGCTTAAAGTAATCTTTTGCAAATTTAGATATGGAAGTATATTCTCGTGCAAATTTAGATAAGGAAGTATATTCTCGATTTCAATAAACGGACGTTCATCAATGAGAAGAAATAAATGTTTGTAGAAATATTATAAGAGCTTCTCAGAATAGCTGGTGGTGCAGAAAATACAAATCAGAAAAACCTAAAAAAAAACACGAACAAAAAGCGTTCAAGCATCCATCCAAAGAATAGAATTAAAAAGACTACGGACACATAAAAAATTATTTATTTAACTTTCAGCAAGAATAAGACACCGCGGATCAGTAGTGAAGCACTCACTGAGTTTGACGCTGCCGTCCATGCCCAGCAGGATATTGTCGCTCTTGATGTCTCTGTGGATGACGTGATTATAGTGCAGGAACTCCAGAGCCTGCAGCACCTCCCTGTAACGTTCATGGCGTCGTCAGAGACATCGCTCACCTAACTTAATACTGACATATTTCTTACTACTGACTTACTTACTACTACTTACTTATTAATACTACTTACTACCCATCTGCTATCACTAACTCGTTACTTACCTTACCACTACTTAGTACTTACTGCAACAAACTCGATACTAAGTTATCTTACCACTACTTACCACTTATGTGCTACTTTCAACTTACCATACAACTCATTTACACTATCTCTCACTTTAACTATAACCACAGAATAATATTACCCTGCTATAATTTAAGTCTGTTAAATATAATAGCCTAATAACAGGCGCATGAAAAACAAACCTGCACACTGCAGCAATTTGCCCCTCGTCCATACAAGTCTCGGTAACGACATCAGTTAGCGAGCCTCCAGGTAAATATTCCATGACGACCCATAGCTCCTCCCCCACCAGGAACGAGTCCAGGTAGTTCACAACGTTAGGATGTCTGTTTTCTTTCATTACGAGAATTTCATTAATTATGAGTTCTTTCTTCGGCTGTTGTGAGAGATTCATCTGTTTGATGGCCACCTCCATACCAGTGGCCGTCTCTATTGCAGTGTGCACTGTGCCAGATGCTCTGAAATTATATGAGTAAATTATAATGACTTTATTGCATAAACGAGAAACCTTCTGATAACAAATTTTTGTAACGTATTTCTCAGCCTATCCAATGATCCGCTGTTACCCAGACAAACAAACATAGCAAGCAAGATCGTTATATAGAAGACGTGTTACACATAAATATAAAATCAGGAGGTCCAAACACATGAAGATCTTTTTCCAAACGCATGAAGAACACATCATCTTTTGTCCAGCTATACAGCTCATCTTGCGTGATAGTGTCAACAAGGAAGTGGAAAACAATATAGATATACGGTACGTAGATATTAGAATATGAACTAATGGAACAGTTCTCCTCTGTTCCTCTAGTTGTCTTATGAGACCAAGCAGGCACATCGAAGTTACTGGCGCATTGATAAGTAATTTAGGTGATTAAAAAACGGCTTCATGAGTGCAAGGAATTACATAGGAATCATCAAAATGAGATCATTGAGATGAAATATACAACGACTGTGATTAATTATTGCTTTGGTTGTTCGGTTGGAACTGTAAGGTGTTTTTTTTTTTGCAAAGTATTGCAATAAAAATTCAAAAAATAATAAGACCAGTATGCAGAGTTGAAATCAAACCTAATCACGGTTGTACCTTTGCAGTTAAGGATTAAGCCTAAAACATGGAAGAAGAATACAAACATCAGATGCCGTGGCCGCAACAGCACCGCTCTCTCTAACCTTGCTCACTTTTTACCCTGGCTTTTACAGTCATCACGACTTACCCTTGTCCTATTTTCCCCATCTTTGTGTATTTTCTGTTAGGGTCGCCAACTGAGACTATACTGCGCACTTTTTACCCTGGCTTTTACAGTCATCAAGACTTACCCTTGTCCTATTTTCTCCATTTTTGTGTACTTTCTGTTAGGGTCGCCAACTGAGACTATACTGCGCAGGCGCTCTAAGATCTCCTCATCGCTGAGCTTCTTCTTCTTCTGCTTCTCAGCGGTGCGCTCTGCGGAGGTTGGCTGCTGAGACCTGCGACAACAGCAATAGTGTAGAATAGGAAAATATAATTCAAATAGAATAGAAAAATAGAATTAGAATAGAACAATAGAACTTGCAAGTTATGAATAGATAGCATTTAAAAACGCTGAAGGCATATTGAAGTAGCATTCACAGGCAGCTGAGACATATTGAAGTATATATCAAAGATAAGAACTTATTCCAATGAAGGACAACTGACGAAGGCGTGGAAGGCACAGCGGCGGCAGCAGCGGCCGCAAGGACAGGCGGGGCGGCCGCCGGCGGGCTGCTGGGCTGCGGGTTTCTATTCCTGTCCAGCTGGGTGCCGTTGGCGTTAGCCTCTATGGTGGTGGGCTGGGGGGTTATTTGGTGGTGGTGATGGTGGTGCAGAGTGGGTTGTGCTGTGATGTGATGGTGTACAGGAGAGGGTAGGGGTGGGGTCACTTCGACTACCTCCTCTAGAGGGCGAGTGTAGATGCTCTTAGTGCGTTCAGGGCGGGTGGGGGGAGGGGGTGGTTCTTCATCTTCTTCGTCGTCAGGCACCTGCAGAAATATGCTTGAGGTCAGCACAACATATATTATCAAGGTAAACAAAATATAGAAATATTTACTAGCTAAAAACTATAAATAAACAACATATGTTATCAAGGTAAACAAAATATAAAAATATTTACTAGCTAAAAACTATAAATAATATAAAGTTAAACAAATAAAATATTTACTAGCTAAAAACTATAAATAAACAACATATGTTATCAAGGTAAACAAAATATAAAAATATTTACTAGCTAAAAACTATAAATAATATAAAGTTAAACAAATAAATTATTTTCTAGGAAATAAATATAATTAATTATTCTAAATGAACATTATCCTGGCAAGCACAATATTTACTAGGTAAACACAATCAATATTTTTTAGGATATTTTCATGGTAAACATAGTATTAAATATTCATTAGGTTAACACAAAAAATATAATCGAGATAAAAAAAAAAAAGATTTTAAAGATAACATTAAATTATTTGCTGGGTAATCACAACAAATATTCTAGACGTAAACAAAATTTGCAAATTCAATAAGTTTTATAACTGATGGAGGCCGTGTGGTGGGAAAATGATATCCACTAATTATGTATACACTTCCAATCTCCACACTGCCAATCTCCACACTGCCAATCTCCACACTGCCATCTCCACACTGCCAATCTCCACACTGCCAATCTCCTTACTGCCATCTCTACACTTTGCAATTTTTCCATTAAAATCCATTATCATACTTCAATTGATGTGATTTTTGGTAAATAATTTCAACAAAAAATTTATTTTTGACCCAAATACTTAGTTAACCAGTAAACATTCTAAATTGAGCACCATAAACAAAATAGGATTCAGTCGGCATTTGATTACCTAGTTCTACTCGTAATAAACTCAACAAGAAAGAAATATACATGCGGTGACCAAAAACTCTGGCAAAAACAACCTAAATTTCAAGCCTTTTGTTACTTCAACAAGTTCAAAATAAATTTTAATATGAATATTTTCACGAACTAATGTCTAGGTTGATGAATAAGCTCAAAATAAGTTTTGGATCCAAACTCGAGTTTTTTGAGCGAACAAATGAATCTTTGGGATATGCATTTTAGGAATCTAGAGCTAATTTACTTCTAAAGCTACAAAATAATTCTTGGGGGAGCAGATTTGTAATTTTAGAGCTGCACGATCAGGGGAGAAAAATTGACCATTTATTGATCACAAAATTATAAACATAGACTTGCAGTCTCGACGAAACAAATTTATAATTCAAAGATGGCAAAGTCATAATATAACTGCAGTAATAACGCACGCTTAGCTCTGAGCATGTCTCTGGCGTGGAAGGAGAGCCTGACGACGCATCAGAGATTTTGTGAGGGGAAGGCGTGGCAGGATAGTTACTTAAACTCACGCCCCCCTGGTAGCTGGGCCGCGGTGAAGGATCTGCAATACAATAACACGTCATGGTAGGCAAGGTCCTGGCAAAGGACCTGCAATACAATAACACGTCATGGTAGGTAAGGTCCTGGTGAAGGAACTGCAATACAATAACACGTCATGGTAGGTAAGGTCCTGGTGAAGGAACTGCAATGCAGGCAATACGTCATGGTTAGTGAACATGAACATCATTTAATTCTCGGCTCATTTCTGCAAGTGCAAGCAGAAGAAATATTCTAATACTGGCAAAATGTTTGCAATTCTTTAGCAAGGTTACATGAAATTTGAGATATGAATAGACATAGACTTCTAGAGACACTACCGTACTTGTTCCTCAAATTAATTGTAATTGAATCATGAAGATTTGATGAACTACTGTACAATTACTACTATAAGTTAGTACATTTCTACTGCAACGAGCATTCTTGCATGACTTAAGTCATCAAACCAAACTTTACCTCCAGATGCAACAGGTTAAAAACTGTCTATGAGTTTGAATATTATGACTTATTGTCAGAACATTATAAGAAGACGTCTTGGTGGAAGAAATGAGACTTTAACCTTGAATTTATACATGAAAATCTACAGTCCATTATTTAAACTCCAACCTAATACATCATTTCCCTAATTATCAGAATATCTCCCAAATAATTTCAAAGCACATAATTTTTAATAACACATCATCTTTCATTAATGAAATTTACAGCAGACCTGAGACAGGTTTGGTGGCAACCCTCATGAACTTGGCAGGCTGGTTGTGCTTGGTAGAGGCGTCGTAGTAGTTGAGGACATCAAGCACCGCTTGCGGGTTGTTCTTCTGTTCCTGCTTTGTGATGTTCGACATGACCAGCAACTTGTTCCACGAGTCCGGCATGCCCTGTAATCAACGTAACACAATGATAAAAATAAATAACAATAGTAAAAATATGAAAAACTTGGGGCTTCAACAACAAACACAATAACAATACAGTATTAAAATATTAATTATTGATATTACAATATAAAGTTATATGTTGATGCTAAAGGATTTTATTGATAAATATTAGGAACTGTTGAATGGGAACCACAATGAACGTCAAATCGTTCATCAAAAGGATTTTAAACAACCGTTTGGAGGGTAAACATTCTAACAAAATAGTAGGTATTGATTCTGAAATTTGAATCAAAGATGATAATTCACTCGCAAATGAGTTATCAGACAAAACCCTTAACATTCTAAGTTATCCTTTCTGGATTTTACCTCAAAACTATTTAGAAGTTATTTATTTAACCAAGATGTTCCTATTCATTTTATATTAGTAAACTATGGAATTTTGGTTGTCAATACAACATCGTTCACTTTGCATTCCCATTACATAAGAGAAATCCATGCTACAAAAAAATTGTTAAACTTTTAATTCATTGAAATGAATGGAAATTATGCTAAAAATTAAGCAAATTTTTGCTAAAGAGGTAGGAATCCTAAACACATTACATGGCCTGATGAGGAAATATTTTCCTCTATGTCAACACTGAAAGAAATTAGAACACATACACCTGATCTTGTAAACTTTGTACGGAGGATTTGGAAGAAATTACTATTAAGCATTGATGACGAGATCACAAAGTAAAGTTTCATGTAGCAACAACTTGGAACCTAGAGTCATTTAAACAAAAGCATTAGAATAATGAGAACATATGTACAAAAATTGCACAATCTAAAGCAAGGTGAACAATTAATGCGGCAGATAAACTTCCAGTGAAATATATTTATTCATAAATACAATCCTCAAAGTTCATTACAATAGGATTTCTTACTGATAGCTTTCATCATTGGCACATTAATATCCAGTAGAATTCATATTCAACAGGTAGGGTTCATTTTTGGCAAGTTTAGGCAGAATCTTTGGCATGCTGTTTCAGAATTTATTTAATAATAGAAGAAAAGTAAGGTTATCATCACGTAGGTCAGGAAAAAATTTCATAGAATTTGTTAGAGTAACATGACTAGGCATGCTTGTCTCTTGGAGGCAGTCCAAAATTCTGAGTCAGAAATGGAAATGATGGTGAAGATGAGCCTATGAAAAAACAGCAAATGAAAATAAAGAACTTCTGACACTAACACTAAAACAAAATTTAAAAATTAGGAGACTGTAGTGACATCAAGATAAACACATAAACAGTAAAATCACACAACAAAAGAGTGTAGTTGACTTCATTGCATTGAGTGGACACTCTTAGAAAGAACCAATAAGAATACGATTAGATTTTTTTAAGTATGTCAATCTCACACTAGACGTTTTGCCCCATAATCAGGGCAATAGCTTGCACTTTTTCCACACTGGCATATTAGGGATTTTTAAGAAAACCTCCCACAATAGCGCAAAATTATACAACTAAGATTAAAGTCTGACATTTTAAATTTGTATTAATAATTATAACCACCGTAAATTATGAAACGCAGAATTTTTAAAATCATCACTTTGGTTCAAATCATTGTTTGAAGCATTAATTTTGGTGATTAGATACACAGAGATATGAAATTTCTGCTACATTAAAATTGCAGCACAGGAAGCACAATCATGCTACAGAGTTTTCATGTCACCACTAGAGTAATTCAAAACATCTTTCTTAACAACATTACAATCAGATTCAAAAGGTACCTGATCATTGGATATAATTTGCCAGTGTGAGATGACAAGCAAATTGTCTTAACGAAGGAGACGACAAAAAAAGAGTGTTTAATTAAACTGAAGTGCACCTGGCAACTGAGAGACTCTCCCGCAGGCTGCTGCATGGAACAACAGGAAAAGAAACAACAGTAACATAAATATATAAAAGTTGACCGACTGCTTCTTGATGAGAGTGAACAGGTGAAAATTTTGATAAATTTGAAATCTAGATATATATGACACTGAATACTTAACAAGTCATTAAACCCCCTTTAAAAACTTGGGACAATATCAAAAAGATATTGAACTATATACTAATTTCAACACCCAAAACTGGGGTGCTGAAATCTCAAAGAGGAGCCGAGGGATTATAATGCACAGGAATGCAATGCCACATTACCCATATCAACAACTATTACAAAATAAAATAATATGAACTTTTACAGCCTTCTTAATTGTTTTGTAAAGAATAAACTTCTTACAAATTCTGTATACTATTACAAACATAAAACAAGAAGTGATGTATGAATAGTTAGGAAGTATGTAGTATGTACTTATCAAGGTTGCTAGGTTCTCTTCTGTTTTCCACGTAATTCACTCCATTTTTCTTGTACATGTTGAGTATTTCAACCTAATTTGACTTATGTTTGAATTGAAAAATGAACACTTTTAAAATAATCATTTACAATTTGCCACAGAAAATGTATCAAATGAATTCCATTTGAAATACAACTTATTTTGTCAAATTATAAAATATTGATAGCTTGATGAAATGTCTCAAAGAAAACATGATCATCATCTAGCATTGAGCAGAAAACTATCACCACAAAGCTTACTTACTATTAAAATTTTCAAGGTTTGTCACTGAGTGCCAGTAGCCCCAGTTTAACTCTTTTGCGGGCAAGTTACCATACATGGTCACTTAAAATATCCTCCCAAAAAAAATCTGCTATGGCCCCCGGTTGTGCTTGAGGCTCCATTATCATGCCACTGCCCATTTCCAATCATCCAGCCATCATTTCGTACATAGCATCACCACCTACCATTCCAACAAATTTAAATAAGAGCATTAAAATGAAAGTTTTGACTCGGACAATGACATTGATGCTCTTTCCACAATTTTTTTGAGGATGGAAGTAGCAATATTTATTAAATTATATTTCAAATAACTTGATTGAATTGAATTCAATTTTATCTTGGATTGTTGCTCTTTCCATTGGTATGCCTGAATTTAAATTTCATGGAAAATTTTTTGATAGACCCATATTAAAAAAAATTTCAATGTAATTAACTATTACATTATGGAAATTTTTGAAGAATACATACAAGTAAATATACCTAATAATAGTTCACATTTTCTTATACTTGTTTCAGAAACCTAAATTTCTGGATATTACTATGCTTTCCCACATAAGGGTTAATAATTGTTAGTAACTAAGCAAACAATGGTATTATGGTAGATAAATTATATTAATGACTCTTACAGATGATAATAAAATCCTGGAAGCAAGTTTTGAACACTGCAAGAATCAGTGACGCAATATATGGCCTTATTTCCATGCCTACCAAACTATAGAATAAGGGCTTTTTCTGGTATTATATTACATAAGTTACACTTTAAATTCCAAGTTAGTGTGGGATATTTCATAGTTGACTTGTATTACCTTCTTCAACAGAAAGACATGATTAAATAATGATGAGTGATGTTATTAATTACTATGGACAAGAGCAAAACAAAATTCATTAAAGAAATATCGTAGGTCATAGAATTTTTTCCAAAAGAAAGAGTATAAATTGAATGATTGTGAGTGATGTAGTTTGTGATGTATGTAGTTCATGTGGCTAGTTAAGAAAAAATTAGTATCAGGAGCAACTCAAATTAGGTACCTAAAAGTCAGAAATGCAAAATAAAGGCATAAATTGAAAGTTAATTTATGAGATAGAGATGCACCGTCACTCAACACATGTTAAAATAGTAGATCAAATATGCACCAAACCAGAAAGCAACTCCAAGACTTGTATATATACCTACAAAGAAATTCAGAAGATTTTCATTAAGAGAAAATGTTGAAGATCAAGCATGGTTTGATTTTTTGATAGAAATGCTTTTTACTATATTATGTATTTAACCAACTAAAACCTGAAATTAGAGAATAATAAGACTAAAGCAAGATAAAGAAGCCTTGCCAAATGACAGGCTTGTAGTTGTAATGCAAGCAAATTACTAAAATTATGAATTGCAAATTGAAGTTGAAATGCTAAATGTTTATAAAATTGAGAATGAGGGACATGGGGGAGGAATGTTTGTTTGTAGGACAGGTACATATGATACAGTGAGAAATTTTCTTTTTTGTAAGTGTTAAAACAGGGTAGAAAACGATAAATTCCAGTGCACAAGGAACGAGTTGAGTTCTTTTGGCTTTAAACCAAACAAGCCAAACTGTGCACGAGGGCCAAAATGAGGCAAATTGATGATTATGCATGGGCAATGGCCACTTATAAGAAGGCAGATTGGAAAAGGAATGTCCGTAGACGCTAGGGGCTGTTAGGGACATTACAGTTGCCTCCAACAACGGCATCAACTTTGGAAAGACATCTGAATTTTCAAGACCTTTAGAGTCATCAACAGGGGCATTGGTGCAGCAGGTTTGGCTGCTGATGTATGATTGGTCAAAAATCTAAAGCAACAACCATGGAATGCATGATTTTAATCAAGGTACAGCTGCAATCTGTATAATGAAGTGGCAATAGCATCTAATAATGTGAAGGCTATCTCATAATTTAGGCAGACAATGATACTTATGATGATCATTTCAACCAAATTTTTGTCCATGGCAAGTCAAGATAGAAAAGCAAATTGAGTAGTTAATTCAAAAGCATTTGAAGCCAAACAACTTGAGCTAAAAATATGTCAAATGCTACAAAATGTGCATCTACTATAAATCACCACAACTCAAAAATCAGAAGATGCAGCCAAGAAAATGATCCACATAATGTGTCAAACATCATCCTTCAAAAAAAAAATGGTTTGATTTGCATACCACAACAAAAAATACATCTGATTACAGTTCGTCATAAAATTAAAATAAATATTGGATGCACTCATGCTCGCGATGCAAATGCTCACCGTGAACTCTCCAGTGATGGCATCAAAACCAACATGGATGGTGTGTTCAAAGTTGGTTGGGTAGGATATATTGGGCTTCTCAGCAACATGTTCTTTGTGATGCTGCCGGTGCTTTGGAGGCTTGCCTTTTGATTTCTTTTTCTCAGACTCTGGTTCTTTAGGGAGTGGCCGCATGTCCACCGATACAACAGGCTCACCTCTGAAAAGGAAAATGGGTATATTAAAATGGAGGATGAATTTTCACTTTAAAACACAGCATTGCAACTTATAAACAATTTTTATTAATTAAAACCTAAACCCAAGAACTAGAATGTTATCCTTCTGTATTGAAGAGAACCAACACTGATATAATGATACTAAGTACGTATTCTGGATGTGTTGATGCACTATAATAAACATTATTTGTAGGTACTAAAAAGAAGATATTGTAATAAATCCTGTTAATTATATATTTAACACTACTTCGATTCAATTATATATTTTACACTGTTAATCCAATAAAATTTGTGTGCAGATACTGGCATCCATGATACTTTACTGGTCTTAGAACTTAAGGAAGAGTCTAAAAAAGTCTCTACCTTGTCACTATAGATTGCCTTACCTGGCGGAGGTGAGCCGAACAGGAGGGGCTGGAGGTTTGTCATCGTCACACATCTTGTCATGAGGTTCAGGGCCTGGCATGCATGTTCAGATGTATACTATAGCTTCTAACATGTCTCACAAAATCATGTTGCTAACTCCATTCTGGAAAAAATCATTCAATACATTAAATAATAAAACATTTTTACAAGTAAAGCATATCAAATATATATATATATATATAATACATACCACATATTAAGTAATATATACAGGGGTTAGAAAGACCTACAGCTCCGAAGAGAAAAGTGCTGGCAAGATATTTTGGAGACAAAGATTTTATCCTCACACATTACTAAGCAGGAGTGAAATATGTTTACCTTTTGAGTCACAACTAGAGCATTTGCATTTTGCACCATTTTTGGAACCACAAGATCTCTTCTAGATGAATTACCTCTTATCAAATTGTTAATCATAGTGCATGTCAGGCTGTGAGATTCCAAATAAGGCGAATATTTGTTACTTTGGTGCTGCGATATTTTAGAAATAAGTAGGAAAATTGCAAACTTGTTGCTAAAAATCTTAAAATTGTGCACTTTTTTAACCTTTAGATTGTAGATAATTTTTGTAATGGGAGTCTTGCAGCTCCAAGTATGAGGGGTAAGCTCTAGTAATTTCTCGGAGACTTATAAAGTAGATTTATTCCATTCCTGTTGTTATATATGTTTTATACAAAATTCTTTAGGAAGAAATATCTTTTTAAGGTAACTTAGGCCAAAATGGAAAATCCAACAGAAGTTTCCTCTGTGTCCACTCCTGATTGGGACAAAAAAAATTGTAAACTGTTTATTTTCAAATTTAAATAACCCTTGCCTAATTCAGCTATAGAAAGTAAGAAAAAAGGCCCAATTATGCCCACAATTATTCCAATTTGGAATATTGAGCAAAAATTTTAAAATTATACGTAAAAATTATCATTTTTAGGATAAAAATTGCAATTGAAAATAAGCAGTTTTTTTTTCACTGAAAAAATTTGTGAAATATACCACAGGAACAGGTTGAATCATATTTGGAATAGGCGTCAAGCAGAAGTTTCCTAAAATTGCAGGTAAAATTTATTGTTTCATGGGTGATTTTCACAAATAGCAGATGAAAATAGTCCATTTTTCTCCTATTACATTAAAAAGAAAAGAAGTGTAAAAAGGCCATAGGAACTATTGGAATAGGCTACATTCAGAGGCATTTTGTTTGATTTACAGGTGGCTTCTGCCCATGGTGCAGTTCTGTAGTTAACCCTTTACCGCCAAATTGGACTTTCAAGTCACCTTTAAAAAATACCAGTTTTTAATTTTTTTAAAACTTTTCTAAAAATACTTGCTTTATGATGCATTGGGCAAGACACCACACATATCAAAAAATTGATGCATCATCAGTCATCACAAAATTGTGCACAGAATGTCATATATAGAATTGTGCACTGGGCATCATAGAATGAAAAGTAATTAGCCTAAACTATGATTCATTTCTCCAAAACATATGATGGTTGTTTCTAAAACATTCCTTTCTGTTTCAGGTATGTTTTTATGAGATTTTATAGCAAATTCTCTTGTCCCAATTTAAATGGTGTTAAATTACAAGCCATCCTGTAAGCTTACCGATACAGAAGAAATGCTATACGGCTGCTGATATGAAGCTTGCACTGGACAAGGTCATTGTAAATGCTCAATGTCATGTTTATGGATACGGTTGGCCCACTTCCTGGTCACCCACTCTGTCCTTGCCACTGCCATTCAAGAAAGCAAACTAACCGAGGCCTCAAACCCCCCTACCTTCCCTGGTTACACCTTGGTCCGTCGCAACAGACCCATAGGTCCTCGCACTGGCGGTGGCGATCTCTGTTTCATTGTGAATCACACCGTCTCATACTCCCCAATCCCTTCTGACCACCTGTTCCCAGGTGATTCCACAATGGAACACCATGCCATCTCCATCTCTATCGATGGTGCACAATTCCACCTTTATCCCACCACCCACTTCCTGCCCCCCTGGCTTCCCACCCTCCTTGACCCCACTGCTTGAGCTGGACGCCCATAACACCATCATTATGGGCAACTTCAACACCCACAACCCTGCGTGGTTCTCTGCTACTCATGTTGACCGTGCGGCTGCCTGAGGCGCAGTCTTAATCAACCAAATAGACTCCAGCCAGTTCATTCTCCTCAACCAAGACACCCCAACCAGGCTCCCGTTGCAAGGAGCCCCTTCGTCACCCGACCTCACCCTCATTAGGCCCCATCTGGCCCTAGAACACTGTCTGGACCTCACTTGCCCATCTCAACTCTGACTATCTTCCCATCTCCATCTCCTTGGACTCCCCCAGACTTACATCAACATCAGTCAAGCAGACTGGGAGGGCTACACTGCCGATACAGAGGCCACCTTTAGCGCTGCTGCTCCCCCCTCCTCCTGCTCCCAGGGAGAGATCCTCTTTAGAAGGATTCTCACCTTGGCGGCCTGCTGACACATCTCCCGTGGATGTAAAAGGGATTTCATTCTCAACCTCCCACCATCTGCCATCCCTCTCATTAAAGAGTGTGACAGAGCCCAAGCCCTGGACCCCAATCACCCCGGCCTACTGGACCTCAACAACAACATCTCAGCTGCCATTTCCACTCACTCCTGCACAACCTGGATCAAGAAAGTCCAGTCTACCAACCTGCAGAGGAATCCAGCCAAATTCTGGTCACTCCTGCACTCCCTCTCTGGCAAATCAGCCAGTCAAGCCCCCAACCAACCCATTTCCTTCAATAACTCTCATGTCACCACAGACCATATTACAGCCTCTTCATTCTGCCACCAATTTATGCTGGTTCCCCACCACCAACATGACCCCTCCTGCAGGTCCACCTACAGAGGCATCAAGCGCCGCAATCCTCTCTCCGACACACCCTGCGTTCACTCCGGTTCAAACCAGACCGGCAGTTTGGACCTCGGGTACCTCCACCGCCACCGGCCCGGACTTCCTCACCACCCTCCACCTCCATCATCTGGGTCCCAGAGGCATCCAGTACCTCACCAAACTTTTCAACCTGTTCCTTGCCAAGGCCAACATCCCTGCCATCTGGAAGTCAGCCACAATCATTGCCATCCCAAAGCCAGGCAAACCTCTGTCCATAAGCTCCTCATACTGACCCATCTCCCTCCTGTGCCCATCTGTAAAGGTGTTGGAGCATCTGCTCCTCCCCTCCCTCAATGCTGCACTTCCACTGGCGGACTCCCAGCATGGTTTCCGCTGTCTTCACTCCACAACATCTGCCCTACTTCCTCTAACCCAGGCCATAGCTACAGGCTTCAACCAGCCTTGCCCACCAACCAGGACAATAGCAATGGCCATTGACTTCAACAAGGCTTTTGACACCATGCCTCATGCCAATCTCATCTCTCACATTGCCTCCACTCCCTTCCATGTCAATTTCACCTGCTAGCTGATCTGCTACATCAGAGGCAGGTCAGCCAGGTGCTCCTACAACAGCTGCATCTCCTCCCCATGTCCGGTCCTCGCTGGAGTTCCACAAGGCTCAGTCATCTTCAACTCCTATTTTTTAGACTTCCCCCAGTCCGCCCCTCTAATCACCTCCTATGCAGACGATTTCACAGCCGCTGTGGGGGCCGTGCAGATTGCCAACGCGTCTGCAGTCCTCTCCTCCCACTCCTTGCATGTGGCTGCATGGGCTTGTCGGAAGGGGTTATCGGTGTCTATCCCCAAATCCCACACTACCCTCTTCACCTCTGGCACCCATCAATTACAAAAAGACCCTCATGTCAGCTGGGAGGGGTCTGACCTCCCACTTTGTCGAACCCTGAAGATCCTCGGGGTCACTTTCAACCCCCACTTCACCTTCTTGCCTTGCATCGCTGCAATATGCCAGAGAGCCTGCCCGTGCCTCAACATCCTCAAATCCCTTGCTGGAACCAGCTGGGAACAGCAGAAGGAAACCCTCTTGGTGACTTTCAAGGCTCTTATAAAGTCTCTCATCACTTATGCTGCCCCAGTGTGGTTCCCTAATGCCTCTCCTTTGGCAATCTCCAAGCTGCAAACCACCTAAAACTCTGCCCTCCACACAGCCACGGGATCTCTTATAATGGCCTTCGCTTCCCACCTGCACAGCGAAGCTGAAGTCTTACCCATTGCCGAACACCTCTCTTTACTCAGCTCACAGTTCCCTGCCAGTGCCCTTCATCTACACCATTCCAGCTACCCTATTATAACCCAGACATCAGGGCCCCATCCCATGAAGCACACGCTTCAGTCCCGCTTCCTCCCTTCAGTCTCTCACCTGCTGGAAGAGGGATCCCTCCCCCCCGACACCTACTCCGCTGCCCTCAGCAACCTGCACAGCTCCGCTGTCTCATCCTACCTGGCCTCAGCAGCTCCCAACAAGGTGTTGCTGACCCCTGCCCCCACTGTCTCATCCAGCAAGCTATCCCTCCCCAGGGTGGCCAGAAGCGCCCTTTCCCAGCTCCTCTCTGGCTACTCATCGCGACTCAATTCGTACCTTGCCCGCATCGGTGCAGCCAACAGCCCACTCTGCCCTGAGTGCGGCGCAATATACCACACCACCCATCACCTCTTCAGCTGCCCTTTGCATCCCACCTTGCTGACCCCACTGGACCCCTGGTCTAACCCTGGACCGACTGCGGCTTTCCTCTCCTTGCTCCCATCCTTCGCCGACATCCTTGGAGCGGAACCTCTGCTCCCCCCTCCCCCCAGAGCTGCCACCCCTTCGTGGGCGCCACCGAGCAGCAGTCCTTGGCAATTAACAACAACATGGATACGGTTATATCACATCAATAATACGGTAATGAATGAATAATGGTGACATCATATTAATAAAGGACAAAAAAGTAAAAAAAAAACAGAAATTTTCATTTATTCTACATCTACATCATCTACAATGAAAGACGAGGACTTCCGAGTACTGTTAGTAACGGATGAGTACAATATGCATGCTTCAAACATTTTAAAATTTAGTTTTATTTCAAGTGTCCCAGATTACCCCCTTTCCAGGGGTAATTTGGGACAGTTTTATTTTGCATCTGACACCTTACAAATAGCATATGGAATTTTCTAAGATGATGCCATTTGATAGCCCTTGCAAAGAGCTAT